CAATTTTGGGTGAGGTGTGAAGCTGCAATTCTGGGAATTTTTTCCCAATTTTTCCCATTTTTTTCCCCCTCAGCCAGCGAGAATCCGGAGCGGTTTGGTTGGGGGGGGCAGCTGAATTCGGCCTAAAAACCCCAAAAAAAAGGGTCCAAAATTTGGGAATTTTTGGGATTAATTCCACCAAAAAAACCACAAAAAATAATTGGAAAAATGGGAATTTTTGGGGAATTCTGGGTTGGGAATTTTGGGTGGGGTGGGAAACTGAATTTTGGGGAAAAAAACCCCAAAAAATGATGCGAAATTTTGAATTTTTGGGGAATAATTCCACCAAAAATGGCGTCAAAAGTGTCAGGAATTTGGGGATTTTTGGGAATTTTTGGGAATTTTGGGTTGGCAATTTTGGGTGAGGTGTGAAGCTGCAATTCTGGGAATTTTTTCCCAATTTTTCCCATTTTTTTGCCCCCTCAGCCAATGAGAAGCCGAAGCGGTTTGGGTGGGGGGGGCAGCTGAATTTGGCCTAAAAACCCCAAAAAAGGGTCCAAAATTTGGGATTTTTGGGAAAAAATTCTCCAAAAACCTCTGAAAAAGGGGTGGAAATTCAGGAATTTTTGGGAATTTGGGGATTTTTGGGAATTCTGGATGGGTTGGGCAGCTGAAATCTGGCAAAAAACCCCAAAAAATGGTGCAAAAATCTGAATTTTTGGGGAATAATTCCATTAAAAATGGTGTCAAAAGTGCCAGGAATTTGGGAATTTTTGGGAATTTTGGGTTGGCAATTTCGGGTGAGGTGTGAAGCTGCAATTCTGGGAATTTTTTCCCAATTTTTCCCATTTTTTTGCCCCCTCAGCCAACGAGAAGCCGGAGTGGTTTGGGTGGGGGGGGGCAGCTGAATTCGGCCTAAAAACCCCAAAAAAAAGGGTCCAAAATTTGGGAATTTTTGGGATTAATTCCACCAAAAAAACCACAAAAAATAATTGGAAAAATGGGAATTTTTGGGGAATTCTGGGTTGGGAATTTTAGGTGGGGTGGGAAACTGAATTTTGGGGAAAAAAACCCCAAAAAAAGACGCGAAATTTTGAATTTTTGGGGAACCCCCTCAACCAAAGAGGAAGTTGGGGGGGTTGGGGGGGGAGGGGCAGCTGAATTTGGCCTAAAAACCCCAAAAAAGGGTCCAAAATTTGGGATTTTTGGGAAAAAATTCTCCAAAAACCTCTGAAAAAGGGGTGGAAATTCAGGAATTTTTGGGAATTTGGGGATTTTTGGGAATTCTGGATGGGTTGGGCAGATGAATTCTGGCAAAAACCTCCAAAAAATGGTCGGAAAATCTGAATTTTTGGGGAATAATTCCACCAAAAATGGCTCCAAACGTGTCAGGA